TTGAGTTTGAGACTGCAAAAGAATGCTTGTATGTGGATTTCATTGTCTGGACATTTTGGATTGAATTTTTTTCTTAGAAAGTCAGATTTATGTTTGTGCTGAAGTAATAATGGGAAATATTTTTGTAATTCCAAATCTCTTATCAACATGTTTGCTTGAGTATTTTCCAGCCGCATTGCGTTCTCTGCAGAAACCGATTAACTCAAGGCTGGCTGCCGTTGTTTGGTGCTGATAGATGGTGAATTAGATTTAGAGGGAGGATTTTTTTGTTGCTTTTTCCTCCCTCCCTCGCCCCTTGTTCTTAAACACAGCATTTTTCATTAGCCTAATTAATAAGTGCTGCTGTTAATTATGCCTAGTGCATGAGTAGCACTTTGGATAGTCTCTGTACACCTCTAAATTCTGGCATTTTCTTCCGTTTTAGAATATCAAAGTGCATTTGGACAAATTGTTGTGGCTCTCATCAAGAATTTTTGAATTGCTTTACTACCTGTGACAAAAAAAAAAATCAAAAAGATTAACTGTTTCAAAAATGGAGGGTACAATAAATGAGAAAGTTTGCTTTAATATTTGGTATAGGATCATATCAGCTCAGTCTTTGAAGTCCCTCCATCTCCACGAGGACTAGCATGTATTCAAAAAAAATGCTGATTGCTTTTTAATATCACTGCCTTCAGTGAGGTTTTATTGGTCACATTGGCCTTTTGCTTGAAATTAAATTTCTTATATTATGTGGGGTTTAATCTACATGTCTGCCAGTAGCAGAATCAACTTCCTATCCGTTTGGGCAGCCATGCCAAGCTGATGGCTTTAATTTATTTTATTTTTTTTGTTTGGAGGTGGCTATTTTGTGTACAGCATTACATACACTAACAAAAGATTTCTTTCAAAGTTTTTATTCATAGAATTTCTACAAAAATATTAAGATGCACAACTGTTTTCAACTGTCATAATAAGAAATCTTTCTTGTGCACCAAATCAGCACATTAAAATGATTTCTGAAGGATCAACTGGAGTAATGGCTACTGAAAATTCAACTTTGCATCACAGGAATAAATTATTATATGTCTCGGTGTGTGTGCGAGAGTGTGCATGTGGTTATATGTCAGCGTACATGTGTATTTCAGTGTGTTGATTTGACTTTGCAGTCAGATGACAGTGCCACTGTACAATATGACGCTCAAATGTGCCAAGTGCGGAGTTATCTCGTCGGCTGACGTTTCCACCACAGCTACCAGTAACGCCATGTTAGTCCCGCTAATTATTTACCAACTCTATGATGCTCTGCCTTCGGTTCTGTTTTCCTTTCTGCATATTTCTTACCTCACCCTTCTTTTTGCTTTTCTGGTTTTCTCCCCCATTCATTTCCCTCACCCTGCTATTGCTCCTTAGCTGTTAAGTCAAAAGTGATCAGCAGAGACAGAGTTTTTATGTTGTTGCAATGCTAAATCATGCAGATTGCAATAGGAGCTCATGCTGAAGCCCTGCTGTGTATGTTTGTGTGAGTGTGCAAGCGTGTTTGACCAGACAGTTCCTTGCTAGAGATTACCATAGTAACCGTATTTTTTGTCAAAGTAGCATAGTTTTAGTTATAATAAATTACTTTTAGGCATTTTCAGACTTTTAGGTTTTCATATAAAACAGATTTCAGTGCATTCAGTATGTGCATTCTCTGGGATTCAAACCCATGGCCTTGGTGTTGCTAGCATCATGCTATACTAGTTATTGGATTAGAGATAGATCGATATATCATCTAGGCATCATCTATCACCTATAAATCAGCCAGTATTTGGCCATGCGCTTGGCAGATGCATTGGCACTTTCAGTTATTTTTAGTACATTTTGAGTAATTTTCAGTGTTGTTATTGGTAACCAAAACTAATGGGTTTCTGTAATTGAAATAAAGCTTTAAAAAATTCATATAAATATTAGATGGAAAAAAGAACATTTAAAATGTTGCCTTGGCAACTAACTGAAATAAGTTGAAGTACTGAAATTACCAAAACTAAAACCGAAATAAAATCAATTACAGCTAAATAGAAGTATTAAAAAAATTCAAATGACAAAAGCAAATAACAAAATTATTACAATTTAAAATGAAAACATATGACTAAATACTATAATAGTATACTAAAAAATATGTTATTATAATATTTAGATAAAACATGTTAATTTCAGCACATGTATATACATCTCTGTTGGTAAAATTCAAATGAATTAGCTCATCACATACTATATATACTGTATATCAAACACTTCACTCAGAAATTGCTATTAAATTACACAAATAATTACAAAAAAACTAACTGAATAAATGTGAAATTTTGAAGTAGAAAAGCTGAAATAGTATTTTCCTGTAAAATTTCCCTGATTATCTTTGTTTTACTTACAACTTTGAAAAATATGTTTTACGGCATATCCTTAATTTTTCTGCATCTCTCTGCATTTTTATTTTATTTTTTATTTTTTATTCATTTATTTTGTGATGACAGTGGTGGCCAAATATTCTGTACTGGCAGTAACTATATGATATTTTGCTTGAACTCTGTGGTATTTTGGTGGAAACTATGGTTGCCATGAGACATTATTGTAAGGGCTAATAATAGCAGCCATGTCAAGATTGGCTTATCTGAGACTGCAGTGAGCCATGTTTATCAGGTTTCTATCATTAGCCTGTTGCTGGTACTGGCCAGGTGTTTTACTCTACAATGTGAGATAAAGTAGACTAGCCATTTATTAATGTACGCAAATATGTGTAGGATATGTTTTTGTATGTGGCAGCATCTAAGAAGCAATAAGAGAGGTTAAAATCATGCAACCTACAATATATAGTCATATATATTTATTTATTTTGCTGGTGAATTGCAGCAATTTGTAAACATACCTCAGCAGACGAGGTGGGTTAAAGGTCAATGAGGTTTTACCACATTATGTGTTGGTATACATGTATAGATGTCTGAGGGTGACTACATTTGCGGTTAGCAGTGCTTGTGTACAGAATGTCAGGCGAAAGCTTTATAGGGCAGAGTACTTCATAAAGACAATTATGGACATGTCTTTATAGGGTCTGTGTGTCTGTTAATGAAAGATCTATTGTAAATCCCTGATGTATATTAGATACATGAATTGTGATTATTTCCCACAACAGTGTAGCCACTGCAATCTCTCTTTTGTTTTGTTTATATGAGCATCCCTGATGTGTGTGTATGTGTGATTGGCAGAATGTGTGTTTGTTGGTGCTTTAAAAAGCTACAAATGCAGTAGACTGGAGCAGATAAAGAATTAAATATTTAAAAATGGAACAAAATAGTGAGATGTAGGACTTGCTGAGCATGCTGGCCCTTCCTCCAAATCCATGATCAGGGGAGAGTTCTTCTCTAAAGACCGCTGAATTGTCTACATTCCTTCATCTTTCATCCTCTCATCTGTCTTCCTCTTTTTCATAGTCCATTGCTCCTTTTTTATTGCTTCTTTTGGTTTATTTTTACCTGTTGCACCTGTTCACATATGTTTTGAACTGTGATTGAACCTACATGTTTTCAGTATCGGTATATCGGTATTGTTCAGTATAATCAACAAAAAGGGCAACTCTAGCTCATATTGAACACTGTATTGATCTGTGTATTCATATATTAATGTTCTTTAGTGCAATACCACATTTATATCTGTAAAACACTCCTCAGACATCCAAGAAATCAATAATATGTGTGATAAATATTAATTAGTTCCATAAGAAATTTCTAAATATCAACCAAAGTCACTTTATCCCTTAGTTTTGCCCTCTTTGTCAGCTTGTATGGCAATGGTAATATGAACTGTCACTCAGTGTAATTCTGCTCTGGTCCTGTAGGGCGTCGCTGTGGAGCTCCTGCGTTGTACTGCCACTGCTGGCTCTCACTTGGATGTCGGCGGTCCTGGCCATTACTGACCGCCGTTCAGCCTTGTTTCAGATCCTTTTTGCCGTCTTTGACTCCCTCGAGGGCTTCGTTATCGTGATGGTGCATTGCATCCTACGCAGAGAGGTGAGGGAACCTGTCTCATGTCTGGTTTTTAATTGGCGGACTTTCTAATTTTAGATTCAAATTACTTACTTAGACATGTTTTTTCGCAATCAATTAGGTACAAGAGGCAGTAAAGTGTCGTGTTGTTGACCATCAAGAAGATGGAAACGGTAACTCTGGTGGATCTTTCCAGAACGGCCATGCTCAGCTGATGGTGAATTGCGACTAAATATCTGTATTTCTGTTGCACATTAAGCATAAAATTGTGGTTTAAGACTCTCATTCTCATTGTTTTCTCCAGACCGACTTTGAAAAGGATGTGGACATGGCTTGCCGATCAGGTGAGTCTCTCACAACATACGCTCCGGTCACTTAAAGTTGTTGTGGCATCCCTCTGAGAGGTTACGACAAGACAAGTGCCATTTTACAGGCCACATAATGCATTTTCATCAAGGAGATTAAGAAGACGATCTGATAGCTGGCGAGAAGCAAAATGCAGATAAATAGACTTGTCTGTTCCCTTGCCGTGCCTCAGATATGCCGGCCTGTCCTAATTAAGTCCCTCATGACATTTCATTATCAGATAGCAGCTTTCTTCTCTGATATCTATCGGAAATGGGATTTTGATTATTTATCAAGACGACATATCAAGCTAGCGTCTGGAAATATAGACTTGTGATGTGATATTTTTTACGTTTTTTGAAGTGCGAAGGACTAAAAATTAAGCCTTCAATCAGCCTTCCTTCAGTTAGTTGTTCTAAAGAAATTTTTACATGACTTGCCAAAGCTAAAGTTTAATGCATTATTGACTGCATTATTGTGAAAAGCATAATGCGACCCTCAAAGTTCAAACTGTTTCGCATCTTTGCTTGCTCCTGTTTTACACTGACCTTTTGTAATGTAGCCAATTATTACCTAATAATTCACATAATGTATAATTAGTTTGCTGGTGCTCATGGGAAAATCAAAATAAGAAGAGAGATTGCTCCTTTGTGTACTTATTTACACCTTTATGATCCCATCTTTGACCATTCTTTTTTTCTGCAACATATCAAACCAATGATTAGGACTTGTCTTTTTCAAGTTAAAACACTTTATCTATTTTATTAGCAATTTCACTGTCTACCCTTCCAAATTTCTAGCTCATAAAATTTCAGGTGATGTCCAGGTGTCATCATTAGGGATCTATAAATTCCGAGATGTGGGAAACTTGGGCGGACTTGCAGAATCCAGGCATAAAAATAGAATTTACTGTATAGTGTGGAATGCCACTGAATTTGGAAAATTTTGGATTACTAAATCAAAAGTAGGGCTGTAAAATTAATAAAATTCAAAGTGCAATATGGACTAACATCAGTAATTATTAAACAGGAATCTGAAATATAGAATCTGCTTCTGAGAACCATATTTTTGTCTACTGCACATACTTAAACATTATTATTATTATTGTTATTGTTATTATTATTAATATCATAATCAACATTTTATTTGGTTTTAATTTATACATTAAATTTATGTTGTGCAAAATATAAAATACAATTTTTTTATGTTAAATTAATTGTTATAATTTCATGTGAAATACAGAATTTGGAAAAAAAAAAAATGTATGTATTTTATAAGGCCCTATGCAATCAGATGCATTTACTTTGTTTTGTTCTATACTTGTTCTATACCATGTTAGACCATATACCGCATTATTCTTATGATTCAGCAAAGTTTTATCTATATTACATCATAATTTGAGCTGATAAAATAGCAGCAAAATGTAGCACCGCTTTATCAAATCAGCATGTATTTTCTCTGCTGTGATCTCTTTTCACTTACTAAGGCTTTTTCCCTCGGATTCGCAGGCACCCTAAAGCGTTCCTCCCAACTAGGTGAGGAGAAGGTAGCTTCACAGCAGATCACGGTACAGAAAGGCTCCAACTTCAACACCCTTCCTGCCAGCATGGCAAAGGTCCACCTGCAAAACGTTGCTGACTACGCCAGCCACACTCTCACCATGCGTCGCGAAAAAAGCGCCATTGCCGGGGTCAGTACAGAGCTACCCGGAGCCAAATCTATTTACATCTGTGATGGCGAGCTCTTCAAGCAACTGGATGGAACCCCGGGAGACAGCAGCGGTCCCGAAGGAGGAGGAGGAGGGTCGGGCCAGGGTTACGTGCTCTTGCCCAACAACAACAACACCCTTAGGCCCACAAAGGGCAGCAAGGAGGACCAAGCCACAAAGTACAACATCAGCATCGAACAGTTACCCCAGACCAGGCTCATCCATCTGGCCAACCCTGCTGGCACCGATCCTGTGCCAGGCTTTGGGTTGAAGACCCTGCCCACCGAGCGAGTCAGCATTTCCTGCTCAGAGAGGGACTCCCCTGTGCAGACAGTGCAGAACATCTCCGGCGAATCCCAGATGACAAACACATGTGAGCAAGGGGACTCTGGGAACTCTGGCATGATGTCTAAGAGTGAGACCATCTCAACACTGTCTATGAGCTCTTTGGAGGTAAGAAACAACAATAATCATGAGATAAAACAATGCAACCCTCTATTTTGCGAGTAAACCACTCGTATATGTGACAAAATGTTGCGCTAGGCCACCAAATAATGTCTTAACCAATGGCTAACAATAATTGAAATAATTTTTTTTTTATTTCACTCGTCGTGGATTGAGTTAGAGAACCAAGAACAATGACTATAAAGATAACTATATCAGTGTCCACACCAACACACGATAACGTTCTGTTTATTAGAAGTGTGCGGCAGTTTTGCCATTTGCTGCATTAAATGCTCAAGCTCTTTAAAGCAGGATCGATTCTCATTGGCTGTCAAGGTTTTTATCGTTCATCAGCTGGAAAAAAAATCACTGTGAAAGTGATTCCAACAATATTGTTCCTTTGTGTCATTATCATTATAGTTTGAACATAGTGGTGTGAACTCTATTCTTTTGCATTTAGAATGATTTTAAAAACAATATATTTTCTGTTATAGTTATCATCTTTAGTGTACAATGTGCACAATGTACACATACACAGTCTGGCGAGTAAACTAAAAAAATGTGCTAACCAATGGCGATTCTTTCGCTAAGGTGTTTGTAGAGTGTTGCAAAGTGACAGATGTCCTGTACCTGTTTCCTCACTGTAGACAAGCTCGTTTGACTTCATTTTGTCTAAATAATGAAAACGCTCTTCACAGTTTGTATAGAAAGATTCACAGCCTAATTTAATCAGAACCCCAGTGACACAACAGCTTTCTAAATGACTATTCATTAACATTTATTGGCTAACAGCGCAAATGTGCATGCATCTTACAGCTCTGTAGATACTGGGTTTGCTCTCTTTTTTAAATCACGATGTCTTTTCATCCTCATCTTGTACTTTTTTTTTTCTCAGCCATGTTTATTTCTAATAACTGATGGACACTTTGGTTTCTGGTCCAAAGAAACGTGCTGTAGACCCATCTGCCTACAAGGCTGTGAATTCACATCAATGTTTGTCATATCTGCCACAAGGGAGCGAGTGTCCTAATTTATGTGCGGAGTGAAAAAAGTATGTTTGTGGAGAGTGTCTGCGTAGAGGACTGTCATTACGTGGCTCAGAATTACATTTCAACTGACATCAGCCAATGCACATGCACTCGCTTTCAATAAAAACTGCGTCGAAACACTTAATGGAATGAAAAATCTGCCGTTTCAAAAAGGAAGAAATGAAAGAAGGCTACATAAATTATGGCTTTTTGCATTTGCAATTATCCCTCTTAGAAAAGAAAGTCTCTGCAAAGGTCAGATTTTGCTCATGCTTTAAAAGGGAGCAGATGACAAGTGTGGATTCCTCCTCACCTCAGGCCAAACATGCTCCCAGAATGCGTTGCAGGCACACAGCTGCATCCACGCACAGCGCAGGCAGAATGTCAGACTGCCCTCAGCCGCCCTCCGACAGGCTAAAGAAAGGCCATTCGGTCACAAGCTGTTTACCGCAAGCTCATGCCAGGAGCTCGGCGGAAACATTCAATACAAATGCGGCACAATGCTTTCACAAAGTCTGTCCGAAGTGCCGAAATTTTACAATCGATTTTTTTCTACTTATTGCATTTGGGTCATTCTCAAACAGTATTAACTTTCTGACTTACCAAATATTACCAATTATCAACAAAATGTTGAATGTTTAAATTAAATTAAATTCATTTTCCCCATATCAATTATTAATGATTTATTAGAATTTATTAAATTGTATTCATTTATTATCTTGACATTGTTACTAATCACAAGACACAACTTGATTTTGTTACTTTCTGTATTTTCAAAATCAAATTAGCTTAAATGTATACTGATGCCAATGATATGAAATTATTCATAATATTAATTGCTTTAAATGTTAATTTATTTAACATATTTATTTCGTATTAAATTATATTTTGCATTGTGCAGTAATGTTTAAACTGAAAAAAAAAACTGTTTTGTTATATTTTATTAAATATTATTATTTGATTTTTCATTAGTTGTTCTAAATTTAATTGTGTTTTATATTAAAATATGTATTTTGTGCTTAAACAAGAAAAACAAAATTAGTATAAATATTACATATATAAATAATGTATACCAGATAAAAGGATTGTTAAAGATTAAACTATTATGTACAGTATTGAAATCTTAGGTTATAGAATGATGTCTTTTATATGGGGTTTCTTGAAATATATGACATTTTTCTTATGACACTGTATTTTGGGAATGACCCATTGCACCCCCCAAGATGACTCTGAAAGGACACACAATAACACCCTTTTCTAATTTGCCCTTTTAGAGACGAAAATCACGCTATGCAGAGCTGGATTTTGAGGTCAGTGTAATGTAAATCTTTCCACAAATGACAGCAGTCTTGTGTGGAGCAGTTTCATTCATCTCTGCGAAGGTTTAAATGTGGGTTTTGTCTTGCAGAAGATCATGCATACACGGAAGCGCCACCAGGACATGTTCCAGGACTTAAACAGGAAACTGCAGCATGCAGAGAAGGACAGGGATTCACCCCCAGTGGACGGGAAGACTGGGAAGAGATGGAGCGTGTCATCAGGAGGCAGCGATAAAACCAATCTTAGTGTACGAATTTACATTAATCACTCCCCCTCCTTTTCTGTTTGTCATTAAGTGGATCTCATTCAAAAAAAAGTTATATTTCATACCAAAATCAAAAGAAAACACAGTACCAGTCAAAAGTTTGGATTTTTTTTAAATGTTTTTAAAGAAAGATCTCTAATCACCAAATTTGAATTTATTTGATGAGAAATACAGTAAAAACTGTGATATTAGCCATTACTCCAGTGTTCAGTGTCACATGATCCTTCAGAAATCATTCTAATAAAACATTAAAACATTGAAAATTATTCCAGACTTTTTACCGGTACTGTAAATAATACTTTACTTTGAGAAAATGGAGCATGCAGGTTTTGTGAAATTACTTTTCTGACAATTAAAATTTTTATATAAATATATAATAAAATATATTATAATATATAACAATAAATTAAAGTGTATTATTATTATTAATAATAATAATAATAACTCTTTTTAATGCAGGACTAGCAACATTTAATTAAATTCAGTTCAGTTTTTCCCATAATAATCTACCAATCTATATTAGAATTTTTTTAAATTGGATCAGTTTTATATCTTGGCATTATTACTAATCGCAAGACACAACTTGATTTTTGTTTTAGTTTTTGTATTTTCAAAATCAAAATATGACTTTATACTGACACTAGTTACATGAAAGTAATTATTTGTTTATTGCTTTTATAATAGTTGCTTTAAATGTTAATAATTGTAATAGTAACAAAAATAGCCTCAATGATAGTAATGTTTGGCCTCATGGGCAGTGACCCGAGTTCAAATCCCGCTCGTGGTCTTTTCCCGATCCCACCTGCCTCTCTCTCCCACCTCGTTTCCTGTCCTCTCTCCAGCTGTACTATCAGCATAAAGGCACAAATGCCAAAAAAGAGTCTTTAAAGAAAATAATATTCATTTTCTGTGTTCTGTTGGAAACTCAGAAGCGAAGAGCAGGAGACTCTTGGGTATTTTCAGCAGGATTCTTTATTGAGAACGTGCTGTGTGGCACTGCAGTCATCAAAAGTCTGACTAAGGCTAAGTGATACATTTGTATTTTATAGGCATTCAGTGGGCAGTCCTTAAAGGTGTTTACCTTACACAGCCTTTAGAAGTGACCACTTAAACAAAACAATACAGGAAATCAACCCCTGACTGTGAGCTTCAGCAAACCTACTCCCCAAAGATAACAGTACCCAAATGGTTTAAGCTGCACCTGGCCACAAGGACTATAGACGTGTAAACATTCACATGTAGTTAACTCTCAGGAGGAAGATCAGAGACTGGCAGAAGCCCCTCACTAGAAACTATATTGAATTTAATCAGTAAACAGATGCCATCATTGTTCACTTTGAATGCCCAATACAATGTAGATCACCTTAGTTTTTCATATGATTTTATGTCATGATGTAGGATCAGCAGATCTTATTGTTATTATTATTATTATCATTATTATTATTAAAAATTATTATAATGATGATGGTTCTAACAATAATATTTGTTTTCTTTATTCAAAATATAATTCTATTTTATATGATGTTTCTTAACATCTTACAAAAATGTAACCCTAAAACATTCTTTTTGTTAATGCAGGACAAGCAGCAGACCCCCAGTAAGCGGGCATGGGAGGGCATCAGGAAGACCCACTCGCCACCATCATGGGTGCGTAAGGAGCTGGAACCTCTACAGGCCTCTCCTCTTGAGATGCAAGCGGTGGAGTGGGAGAAGGCCAGCGCCACCATCCCTCTGGTGGGCCAAGAGATCATGGACCTGCAGACGGAGGTCTGAGAGACCCCCAGAGCATTCAGAGAAACAGAACAAACTTTACTCGCAGGGAAAAGGGACAAAGAGAGGGAATGAGATTGGAGTGAGAGTGCGGACAAACAAAAGTATGCAAGAAAGAGAGTGAAAGCAACATGGCTGTGCAATTTTTATTTGTGTTGTAGTTGTTGTTGTTTTTTGTAATCCTGGAATGGCCTTTTCCTTAATGTCAAAGCGAATCATAACACTTTCGAAAATCCAGGTCTGAGCCTGTTGCTATGGTAATGAGCTGGCACTACCAAGAACAGCTGAACTGGGCAAGTTGAGTGCTGACCTGGGATGTTGCCATGGGAACATTGGGAGTGACTGACTGAAGGGAAGGACTGGAATTCAGACTAAGAGCAGATGAGCCTTAGTGAGTGGCCTTCAATTTCTTACACACCTGGATACACACACACACATATTTGTGATCATGTCCCATTTATGGAAGAGTGAGAAGTAGCTCTACGACAGAAAGCTTTCAAACTGTCCGGCAGGAATCGGGTGAGCTACACGTCATTCAAAATCCAATTCTTGAATATTATTAGTCTTACCATCATCGTTATTGATCAGTGTGACACACAACATGCATACGCTTGGGGCACTAGAGGCGACGTGATTGCCCAAAGCCATTTGACTGTTAACCTGTCTCAAACGCCCTTCTGAGACAGTACAGCCCACAGCTTAGCCACTGTGCTGTCCCGTGCACCGCACCGACCTGCGGATCCTTCAAGAGTCAGTCAACAACGTGAGATTCAGCTTGAAAGCGGGTCGGCAGTCCAGTTGGAGGGATCATGTGAACCCACACGTTTGCATTCGCTTGATGTTTCCATCAGAATCACTGGAGCTGAGAGACCTGAAACAAACTGCTGAGTCTCAGAATAAGTGCAGAATCATGTTTGAAAGAGAAAACGGAGATGAATATGAATATATAAATATATATATATATATTATAAATAGTCTTATATATGAAACTGCAGAGGGGTGTTATTCTCTGGTTAGGTTGTGGTCGCACACAGAGAAAGCACAAGACTCACTCCTCAGAGTCCTGTTGTACAGCATTGTAATTATTTCCAGAAGAGTTCTACAAAATGAATTTTAGCCTATAAATATCTTTCTTACTGTGCTTGGGGAATATTGTTATCCTTATTATATATATCATTGCGATTCTGAGATCCCCCCTCCAAATCTCATCGGGTTACTGGACTATATCAGTGTTCTGTAACATCATGTAACGGTGTGTCTTTCGGTATCACTGACTGTCATTCCAGATGATACGTACTTGCCTGAATTCCCCACCATCAACCCCCTGCCCTACTCCTCCTCCTCTTCCTCTCCCTGCTTTTCCACACATCTTTTTTTAAGTTCACTGGGGTTTCTTTGTTATTGTACAGTTTTCAGACATTCAGAGAAACAGAACAAACTTTACTCGCAGGGAAAAGGGACAAAGAGAGGGAATGAGATTGGAGTGAGAGTGCGGACAAACAAAAGTATGCAAGAAAGAGAGTGAAAGCAACATGGCTGTGCAATTTTTATTTGTGTTGTAGTTGTTGTTGTTTTTTGTAATCCTGGAATGGCCTTTTCCTTAATGTCAAAGCGAATCATAACACTTTCGAAAATCCAGGTCTGAGCCTGTTGCTATGGTAATGAGCTGGCACTACCAAGAACAGCTGAACTGGGCAAGTTGAGTGCTGACCTGGGATGTTGCCATGGGAACATTGGGAGTGACTGACTGAAGGGAAGGACTGGAATTCAGACTAAGAGCAGATGAGCCTTAGTGAGTGGCCTTCAATTTCTTACACACCTGGATACACACACACACATATTTGTGATCATGTCCCATTTATGGAAGAGTGAGAAGTAGCTCTACGACAGAAAGCTTTCAAACTGTCCGGCAGGAATCGGGTGAGCTACACGTCATTCAAAATCCAATTCTTGAATATTATTAGTCTTACCATCATCGTTATTGATCAGTGTGACACACAACATGCATACGCTTGGGGCACTAGAGGCGACGTGATTGCCCAAAGCCATTTGACTGTTAACCTGTCTCAAACGCCCTTCTGAGACAGTACAGCCCACAGCTTAGCCACTGTGCTGTCCCGTGCACCGCACCGACCTGCGGATCCTTCAAGAGTCAGTCAACAACGTGAGATTCAGCTTGAAAGCGGGTCGGCAGTCCAGTTGGAGGGATCATGTGAACCCACACGTTTGCATTCGCTTGATGTTTCCATCAGAATCACTGGAGCTGAGAGACCTGAAACAAACTGCTGAGTCTCAGAATAAGTGCAGAATCATGTTTGAAAGAGAAAACGGAGATGAATATGAATATATAAATATATATATATATATTATAAATAGTCTTATATATGAAACTGCAGAGGGGTGTTATTCTCTGGTTAGGTTGTGGTCGCACACAGAGAAAGCACAAGACTCACTCCTCAGAGTCCTGTTGTACAGCATTGTAATTATTTCCAGAAGAGTTCTACAAAATGAATTTTAGCCTATAAATATCTTTCTTACTGTGCTTGGGGAATATTGTTATCCTTATTATATATATCATTGCGATTCTGAGATCCCCCCTCCAAATCTCATCGGGTTACTGGACTATATCAGTGTTCTGTAACATCATGTAACGGTGTGTCTTTCGGTATCACTGACTGTCATTCCAGATGATACGTACTTGCCTGAATTCCCCACCATCAACCCCCTGCCCTACTCCTCCTCCTCTTCCTCTCCCTGCTTTTCCACACATCTTTTTTTAAGTTCACTGGGGTTTCTTTGTTATTGTACAGTTTTCAGAGCACAAAATGAATGTGTCATATTTCTAATAAAAAAGTATATCTATATAATAAAGGGAAAGATGTCATATTTATGGCACTGTGAAACGGACGGATGAATGCATGGATTAAAAAAAAAAACTAAACAAACTTTATGAAATGAAAATTAGAAATTTTTTCCTTAAAATAAGATAACTAACTAAAAGGTTTAAGTGCAAAAAAAATACTAATGCTAAACCTGAAATAAATTGAAAGCTAAATAGAAACATTTAAACAAAAACTAATGAAAAGCACATAAAATGACTAAAACTTCAACTGAAATTCAAACTAAGCTAATTGAAAACATTAATGAATACTATCGTATATACAGGTGCATCTCAATAAATTAGAATGTCGTGGAAAAGAGGAGCCCCTACCAAGTATTGAGTACATGTACAGTAAATGAACATACTTTCTAGAAGGCCAACAATTCACTAAAAATGTTTTTTTTATTGGTCTTATGAAGTATTCTAATTTGTTGAGATAGTGAATTGGTGGGTTTTTGTTAAATGTGAGCCAAAATCATCACAATTAAAAGAACCAAAGACTTAAACTACTTCCGTATGTGTGCATTGAATTTATTTATTTATTTCACAATTTGAGTTGAATTACTGAAATAAATGAACTTTTCCATGACATTCTAATTTATTGAGATGCACCTGTAAATAATACTAAAATAACTGTTCTTTGCACTGAATTTTCATCCGATGAGCCCATAAATACACTGATAAAGATTTAACCAATCATAAATGCTGGTGATAATAAATGTGTGTTATTATTCGATTAAAAGAATACATTAGGATTGGAGTCACGGGAATGTGGTGGGAGGGAAAATGTGGCCATGCTTCAAACGGAGGACATTAATTTCATGTCACCAGAGAGCAACCCAGTGTCCTGAACTTAATTATGTCAGCATTAGTTACTCAACACTTTTTAATACATCACTGGTTGCGATAAACTAGAAAGATTAGTATTATAGAAAATAGATCTGAAAAATGCATGTTAATAGATCCACTGCTGCTACAATAACAAATAGTATTCATGAATTATATATTAAATAAATTGTGAATGAATAATTAAACATAAGAAAGAGACAAGAAGAAAATATTAGAACTGTTATATGTATTAGTTGCAGTAGCAGCAAAGTGTAATAATAAATAGCACATAAAAATATCACATTGATGTTATAAACATTAGACAATTTTATTTCATTTCATTATTATTTGGAATTTAAGGCACAGCCTAAAATTGAATTTGTAAACATGCTCAATTATTTTTAAAAGGTCCATGTATACAGTATATATGATTTGTGTAAGCAAAATTATAGGACAAACCGAAGTACAAACATAAACACAGCTGAGGGGAAAAATAACAGCAGAGGAATATCAAAGTAATAATTAAATGAACATAACCCCACTGGCTTTGTCTCATTGCTGTGCGTAAATTTTTTATAATGGGTTCACTAATGCATGAGGACATCTGTTTTCAAAGATTCCCATATACTGAAGCGCAGTAATCAGGACTAGTTCGGGCTGTGGGCTGTTTAGACCAATAAACATGCCTGTGTAATGCAGCAGTTACAGTACTGCTAAACAACTTTCATATGTTTATGAGGTGTTTGCTAGGACCTCCGTAACCTGTGTGACTAGAAAGTTTGGTGAGAAGTGCTACAAACTGTCAGCTAACTGGAGAACATGATAGTCTAATTAAACACCCCGAGCTAACGAAGTGTGTTAAGATGAGACTGAACCAACAGCTGGATGTTTATTTCATAAACTGTAAAAAAAACAAAATCTGTGACATTTACGGTAAAATACCGGCATCTGTACAAACACTAAACACCATCATGGTAACACACATGATACTGAAATAATTCAATAAACATTCATTTAAGAACATTACATGTAAGATAAAACCCTAATGTACACAACCAATAAGAAAAAATTTAAAAAACATAAAATATGAAGTGTCATGCAGGGAACTCTGGGAGTGTCAATTTATTGTTTTTCACTGTAAATTATACGATGACTTTTTCTTTTTCACTTCCAAAAACTGTAATTTTAACCGTATTTTACTGTAAAATTACATTAAATGTAATTACAGTTATTCACCGTATATAGTATGGAAACTTACTAATAACAAATTAACAGGTTTTTACTGTAGCATTTTTACAGTCTTTTACTGTTAAAATCACAATCATTTTTTACAGTGTAGGGACATAAGAAAGCATGTTCTGCTGTGATTATGCACTGACCTCTGATTTGAGCAGAACCTTATGGAATGTTTTGATTCCACCATCTAATTAAATAAGCGGTAATAAGTTGCACTATATGTAATAAAGCTTCAGGTTGTTTAGTTGGAAGTGACTGGTGGATATTTTGATTCGTTTTAGGTTGTTGCAAATGTCAGTCATGCGAGTTAATTCGGCAACTTGCATGACTGACTTTTTCATAAACACAATAGGTCAACAGCATTAAAAACATGATAACTGGCATGTATAAAAACTAAATGCAAGTCTAAATTCATTTTTAAATAGCATGGAGTGCATTGCCATTATTTGAAAATACTCTGGTGCTCCATGTAGTGTTTTTTGCAACATTGCATTATTTGGATAATTAACTTTTTAGACTAATTTATTGTAAACAGTCCTGCAGTAAGACAAATGATTTTCAATGTATATCAGTTATATGAGGTCATAAAAGGAATTTGCAGAAAATATAAATGTTATATAATTGCTTTAGATGGCAAATACTGTAGGACATGTCAGTAGAATACATACCTAATATGTGTAATGCAACAGCTGGAAGTGACTGGTGGAAGTGAGTTTGATTCTATGTATGTGTGTGTGTACCTGTTTTTCTATTCTGGTGGGGACTTAAACCTGAATACACACAGGCTCACGGTGTCTCATGTCTCGGTGGGGACCTAAATTTAGGTCCCCACGGGTAAACAAGCTAATAAATCACACAGAATCAAGTTTTTTGAACATCTAAAAATGCAAAAAGTTTCCTATAAGGGGTAGGTTTAGGTGTAGGGTTGGTGTAGGGCAACAGAAAATACGGTCTGTACAGTAGAAAAAACATTATGCCTATGGAGTGTGTGTGTGTGTGTGTACGTACAGATAGATAGAGTTTACACTATGGCAGTACATTTTTCATAACGAATTGATTTGCCCCAATTCATCTTTTTTTCCCTCTCTCTCTTAAATTGTCCTTTCTAAAAAATCCTCCACTTATGTACATTTGAAAAGTCTTCCAGTTTTATGGAACTGCACACACCAGCCACTGAATCAGATGAATATAATGTTACGCCCCGTCTAGGGGTAAAGGACGCAACATGAACAGAGAGAGAGGAAGTGGGGATTCTTTTGAGGGTTTTTAATGAAACCAAACAAAAAAAAAATACAATCATCAAAATAAATAAATATGGAATTTCCTTCAATAGTTGACCAGGCCAAAATAATAAACAAAACTTCCTTATTTTAAGGCCTCTTTCCTAAACCCTAACCAAAATAAAATAAAAAGTACAATATACGAACCTAACTCCCTAACCAAAAACAGATCAAAAAGGTTACAATAAACAAAATGGCGTCAAACTCCTTACTTTCTCCCAACCCTCTATATTTACAATGATATACAACTATTTACAAGATCAGGCAAACAGAGTTAAAAGGAGAATCCAAATCCACGTCATAACAAGCAATGGGGTCAAAAACCGAACAGTTCCTACTTACAAAATTCGTATCTCTTTCAAAGATCAAACAATCCTCACTCTAAACAATCAAAGTTCAACTAAGAGAACACACAGCCAAAATCCAACAACTCTCTCTCTCTCCTCTCCTCTCCTCTCCTCTCCTCTCCTCTGCTCTGCTCTGCTCTACTTTGCTCTGCTCTGCTCTGGAGAAAGGAAGTGACATCAGGGCTTTTAAGGTGTGCCTAGTTTGAATGCACCAATCCAGATGGGCCAATCATTAGCCTGCAGGAGCTAATCAGCATCATACATGGACACAGACACTTTCAAAACAAAAGAGAGACAGAAACGAGAAAATACAAAGCAAAGGGTTGTAACAATAATTACACAGAAAATGGAGAGGCCACACAATTAGTTTAATTTGACATTTTTATAATTTAATTCATTATTATATTTTCATCACCTTATAAACCCCCTGCAGTTCTTTCAGGAAGCCCAGTTTTGTAAACCTTGATGTAATGTAATGCTTAATGCACTTCATGATGTTGATAACAAAGAATGGAAAAAATTATCTTACGAGTTAGGTCAAAAGTAATCTAAAAGTAATCAAAAAGTAGTCAGAATACATTACCTAACGTGTAATCCAACAGATTACATTGCTAACTACAATTTATATTCTGCTATGTAATTTAATAATCAGTAATGGGTAATGGACTACAATTTGTAAGTTATATTTACACACACAAAAACACTATATTACAGTTATAGTTTGCTGGTAAATCTTTTAGTTTTAGATGCCACACATTTTGCAGTGTGCTGGTGACTATTTGTTGTAAAAATGCTTTTGTCCAGCTTTGTCAACACATACAGTAGTAACATTAAGTCATATTATAACGTCTAAACAGATAAATTACCTTCTTTGAAGCTTTACATGGCATATGTGTGTGTTCCAGTGATGTGCTTTCAGTCATGCCAGATCAAGCCTAATTAAATATAATCTGGATTCAATTATATTGAAATCACCACTCTCAGTATTCCAGCCATGCAATTTTGCTCCATATGTGTTGGTTCATCAGGTAAAATTGACAAAATTACTTGGAAAGTACTCACTCTTGTCATTCTCATTAGTTTTCATCTGATGCAGCTCCGTCAATAAATCCAATCCACCTTTCACGCAGTGCAATAACAGCACCAAAAGGGACTTGAAATAAACCAATAATTAACAATATGTGTTTATGTCTAATAATGAACATTTATCATTCCTAATTATTACCCTAAACTTTTGAACAGTACTGTAT